TTACGAAATAAATAATAACAATAATAAAAATAATAAAAGTTATTATTAATACAAACTTTGGTGAGTGCTTGTAAGGACATGACTCAGCATTTACATAAAGGATAATATTAGGAGTGCTTATCACTTGGACCGTATAGGGGTAGTCTTGTCTTTTTTCTTTTAGGTTCAAGCTCGACTCTAGCCCAATTAATTGAGATGGGTTAGCCCAATCTCAAATAATTTACATCGAGTCAATTCATAAGGATCATTCCCTAAATTATTCAATGTAAGACTCACTTCCAACCTTCCTCAACAATCCTTAACAATCCTCCGCTCGAACAAATTGCCTCTCTTAAGACTTATGGAGCTCTCAAACAATCTCCCCTTAATCGAGGCTCAACTCCTTTCTCTAGAACCCTTCAACAAAATACACCCTTTGTTCAACACTTAAGTCACCTTTGACTACACCTTCGAGCCTCACAATTCTTTATTCAATATTTGAAGATTTTATTGTCATGGCTAAGTTTAGGACATAACTTTGATATCATGTTAGGAATCACAGATCTCCACAATTGTATGATATTGTCCACTTTGAGCATAAACTCTCGTGACTTTGCTTTTTGATTCCTCAAAATGCCTCATCCCAATAGAGATTATTCCTTTATAAAATAGAGTCCAAAAAAAGAGGTAACGGAAAGACTTCCACGTTCTTACCCACAAATTTCAATCCTAAACCAATATGAAAAAATGAATCAAGGAAAGAAAAAGCTTCATAGGATTTGACAAACCAAAAGGAATTCATCAAACAATTTACAAAGATAATTGGGAGTTTGTGTTGGTTGTAGAGTAAGTATAGGAAAAAGGGTTCTCATTGGCAGCTGAGGGAGCATAGAACATAGGCACAGGCATTTGTGTTGGGAGCTTAGGCAAAGGGGCCTCAAAGTCCAAAACCTTAATAGCTTGCCTTATGGAAGCCCTTAGATTTTGATTTGGGTGTGCGCACCACAGCCCTACAGTCATCAAACATACCATTTCCTCTTGGTTGAACTCTCCATTCAATGCCTTATCAGCAGCCTCTAGCAGCCTTCCTTGTCCATACAGCCCCCATACCCAATTCACCAAGCTGATCTTGTCTTCGTCTTCTTCATGGTGCTCCACTGTTTTTCTCCCACAGGCTATTTCCAATGCCACGACTCCAAAACTGTACACATCTGATTCCTTGCTCGCCTTGCTTGTTAGGAAGGACTCTGGAGCTAGGTAGCCCATTGTGCCTGCCATGACGGTTGTGGGCGAGCGAAGACCATGGTCGACTAGTCTAGCTAGACCGAAATCGCCGACTTTAGCATTGAAGTTCAAGTCCAACATGATGTTGCTCGACTTGATATCTCTGTGGACTACGCATTGCTCCCAATCCTCATGGAGGTAGAGCAAGGCAGAGGCTATGCCATGAGCTATTTTGAATCTTACAGGCCATGAGAGACGAGGTTTCTTCCCAAACAAATGGGAATCCAAGCTCCCGTTCGGCATGTACTCGTAGACTAGTAAGAAATGGCCGCGTTCATGGCTGTATCCGACGAGTTGCACGAGATTTCGATGTCGCAAACGGCCTATGATGTTCACCTCAGAGATGTATTCCTTTTTGCCCTGTTTGGAATTGCTTGATATCTTCTTTGCAGCTATTTCCATGTTTAGTTCTGTGATAAAGCCCTTGTAAACACCACCAAAACCCCCTTGTCCAAGCTTTCCCTGTTCAGAGAAATTGTTGGTTGCTTTAACCAGTTCCTTATATGAAAATCTCTTTGGCCCAGTACCCTTAATGAACTCTTCATCATCAACAACATTCTCCACCATGCCAGTTTCTTCATCTTCAAATTCATCATCACTATCTCCCTCTGTTCTTTCTTTCTGTTTCCTTCTTGTTCTTCGCCACCAAACAGCAAATACCAAACCAGACACAGATATCAAACCCACCAACCCACACACCAGCCCCACAACCCACAATTTGGATTTCCCCCCAACAGTTTCAGTTTCAACAATCAAATCCAAACTCGAAGTGAAATTCCAACTTCTAATTGCTTGAATTGGGATCGACTCACCTGTTGATGCAGAGAAGCCAACGATCACTCTAGCCGGAAGATTTTCCTTCAAATCAATTGGAATATCAGTAAGATTCAATGTAATCGACTCGTTTGGAACCTGAGGATCTTTCAGCGTAACATCCAATCTCCTCAATGTTCCATTGTAAGTGATTCTTGCACCCAAAATGTCTCCTGAGACCATCGTATTACTCCAAGTACGATTAGCCACGGATACAATGGAATTCACATCAACACCAACATGATTATCGCTAGGATCCCACGGATCTTTAAAAATATCGAACTCAACGGCGACGATCTGATTCGACGGATCACCGTTGTTCGATTGATTGAACAATCCTAGCCATCCGCCGCCGGAATTCAAAGGAGGCGATGTCGAATTCTCCGAAGCTAGGAAGAACGCGATTCCACCGGCAGAGGCGTTCGACCTCTCGCTGGAAAACAAGATCACGAACTCGAAATAAGTGGTGAAATCAGCGGATATGTTAGTGACTGGATCCCATAGTTGAATCGGCAGCGAGAAGTAAGCTCTTCCAGTGTCGTTGTTGATCCTGCCACCGATCTGGTTATCGGTGAGCCGGATGGAAGGATGATCGAGGACTGTGCCTCTTGCGGCACTGTTGACGAAAGTGATATTGGTGGAATCGGGGAAAGAAGAGAAGGAGAAATCGAAGGAGCTGCAACAATGGAAGAAGGTGAAAATTAACAGCAAAAAACACAAATTATCAGTGAAATTTGTAGTTTCAGAACACATTTCGAACTCCGAACGATTAAAAAAACGGAAAAAGAGTTCATGAACTAGGGCTAATCTGAATAATCAAAGAAATATACCAGATAGGGTTCTTTAATTTGAAGATTTATTGATCTTCTCGTCAGCCACCTACCAGATTGATCCATAGCATAATCTACTGAGAACACCAGAAGCGACCTAGTCAACAACATTGAATCGTCAATATTGGAACACCTTTTAATGTTCTTCCGTCATGGCTTCCCCCGTTTCGTCGCCCATTCTTCTTAAGAACTTGGCGCGTTTTTTGAATCCAAGTCTTTAATATAAAATTTATTAAATTAACCTCAAAACTTTGATTTAGTCCACTTTAAAAATATCTTAAATTTTTTTAATATTTCTTTGAATTCTTAGTCAACTTTGGATGCATTTATTTGTTTGTGTAGATGATGAAATAGGATTACAACTCTACAAATTTGGTGACTTGAGTTCAATAGAAAAAGATACAAAAGCTCAAAGAAAAAAAGAACAAAAATTGAGAAATCGCAATGCATGCATGTGCGAGGAAGGAGGAGGAAACGTGTCTTGTGATACGCATCAGGCAAAGGGTGGTGTTGTGTGTGCACTGGGTAGAGGAGAAGCCACACATCCCAAAACGAATAATCAAAAGATCTAAACTCCTTCAACGACCTAAGAATCGAAGTGCAACCTGGTCCAACCATCGCGATTTGATCCAATCCAAAAAGACACCAACCAAATCACTAACCTACAAGTATGCCAATACTATGTGCGTGAAACGTGTCACAATCACACTCCTGTAGTAGCAAGACAACGATTGTGTAGCACTTGTTCAAACCCAACGAATAAGTCAATCGAGTGAAATTTATTTCGCAAACAATGTTCGCATATGCTCGAAGCTCAGGTCACATTTGAAAGAAATGTTTTAGAAAACATGAGGAAATACATTGAAAACAATTTTAAAGAAAACAATGTTATAAGTGAAAAACAAATAAGCAGCAACAGCAACAACAAAGAATCGACAACTAGTCACATCCTTCTAAAGTACATTTTGGAGCATTCTAGCCCGACGAGTATAGACATGATTTTTGTGACAAGTCATACACCCACAAATTGACACAACAATGACATATCTACCATAAAAGCAAGTAAGAAAGGTTTGGAACAAGTATGCAACCATGGACAACACATCATGGATAAGTATACCTGGGACATCTAACATGCCGCCACAATTAGCACGCATTGTACAAGCATAATTAGGACATCTGTAGCCACAAGCACGCCTTGAGCAAGCATAACTGTGACATCCTCCCCACCTAACTAGCTGACATCTCTATCGAATTGGTGTGGTATATTCATATCATAACATATGATCAGTAAGAACTAGCATTCTTATTGAGACCCCAACTAGCTGACATCTCTATCAACACTCTTCACCAATTCCACAACGTAAGAAAGATGATGCTTACTTCAAGAACTATATTGAGGAGCCTCTTCCAGTCAATTAGGAACTCTTGAAAACTACCTGACTTTTCGCATCTTCTCTAACAAAATCTCTTACTTTCTTCGCTGAAAAATTCTTTTTTGCATGAGGTCGTACCACCTCCTCGTGCTTGATATCTTCTTGGTTGGGATAGTAACATTTCATATGAACTGCCGGACTAATCTTCATTCCATGAGAGCAATAGGATCCTTGATTGGTCTTTGGTTTTTGTTGCTTTGTACTCAAACTTGATCTGACCTTTGGCTTTTGTTGCTTTGAACTCGAAATTGATTTGACCTTTGGTTTTTGTTGCTTTGAACTCGGAGTTGATCTGACCTCAACTTGATCAAAACTCTCTCCATCTTGAAACTGTCATGACAAACACTTTCGACCGACCTCTCTCTTCATCTATCTTGATGGTGATGGTATTGGCAAATACTTTCGACCGACCTCTCTCTTCATCTATCTTGATGGTATTGGCAAATACTTTTGATCGACCTATCTTCAACTGTCTTGATGGTATCTTCAACTGTCTTGATGGTATTTTCTGCATAAACTGTGCGTAAACTATGTGGTTGAGCTTTCATGGATGGAAATCTTTCCAATACCCTATGGAACAAGCAACATAAAATTTATGTCACATTTATCGACATGTAAAATAGAATAACATGAAAACTTAACAGGAGTTGGAGAATCATTCAAATGAATTCTATTTACAACTCAAACGTTAGAGGATCCTTCAAACATCAGAGACTTTTTGAGAACTTGGATTGAGTCACTACCATTTTCCATATAATAATACATCTATTACTCTCCTTTTCAACCCATTTGTACACAAACAAATTTCAATTCAAAGAAAAAACGGGAAATCAGCAGCAATTATCTTTTTCCAGATTCTCCTATCGCCCACATGAACCTCCCACGCATTCATTCAAATCAAGCTCAAAAAGTGTTCCAAAAAGCCTTCCCCTTCTCATCAGCCCCCAACTTTTACTTCACATTTCAATCTGAAAACCATTAAAATAAACAACATAAAGACCATGAAACTTCATCCCCCTTTGTTTTTTCAGGCATGATGAAGAAGCTGATTTATAATCTATCTTCATACCTCAGTATCTAGTTACTGATGTGCTTCAGTGGACAGCTAGTTCCGAAAGCTGTTAGTAATATATCCTAAAGAGACTGGCCACCTATGATTGACCGCCGCCGTCACCGTCTGATTCGCTATTGGAGGAACTACCTTCTGAATCAGAACCTGCAAGAGAGATTGAAAATAATTTAGCCACAAGAAGCTTTTCCATGATTCAGACTCACAATCCACACAACAATTGTCATACCACTTGAGGAGGAAGAATCATCACTGTCTGAACTACTTGAGCTATCAGACCTACTACTGCTAGCATGAGCAGCTGCATCTTTTTCAATTTCAACAGGAGGGAAACCACCCACTGGCATCATCTCCTCATCCCCAATGTCCACATCTTCCTCACCCATATCCCCTTTTCTAAGCTTCTTTTCCTCTGTTTTAGCCTCAATCAATTCATTTGCAGATGATATCTATAACACAAAATGCAAAAAGTACAAAAACCCCATCAGACAAACCAACAAAATATGGAAAAATCAAAGAAAATAAACATGCCCTTCAGCTATTTACCTCATTATTCGCTTTAATGGAATCAGCGTTTGCATTGTTACTGATGAGGGATTGCTGCTTGACTTTGCTCATCATTTTCTTCCAATCTGTCACCAGCTGGTCGAGTTCCCAAAGGGTCTCGGTATCAACTGCCTCGATGTCAAGCTCAATCTCGTCCCCATCCTGTGTCAAATTTCCACTCCTCTTCTTCACAATCTGTATCACTTGGTCCATTTTCTCAGGAGGCAAGCCCTGCAACCCAACTCCCAATTTGTGTTTCTCCTCCAAACTCATCTCCCTTTTGTTCGGATCCTTCGGCTTTGGCTGCCTTACAGGCTTCACTTGAGGAGCCCGCACTGGCGACGGGGTTTTCACTGGCGACTGTATTGAAGGCGGTTTCGATGAGCTCAATGGCGCTTTCACCTTCGCCTCTTCTACATGATTCCAAGAACTGGCTTGCAATTCCTCCTCATACAGGTCTGGCTGCACCAGCTCGCCCATCTTCTCACTAACAGTGCGAAACAATTCCTCAAATTTCACCGACCACTGCTCAGCCAGGACATGAACATCATGACCTTTTGGATTGTACAACATGGCATTGTTAAAGGTTAGCCTAATATCTTCAGCAAAATCCAACGGTGAGTCATATAAATTCTTAGCTAGTTTAGATTTCACAGTCCCTAAATCCATAGGACGCTTAACAATATCATAATAATCATGGAGACGAAGCCCAACCACATCCACAGGCTTGTTAAAGATCGAACCATACTTCTGCTTCATCAACTTGTTCAAGATTTGAGAGCAAGCCTTCATCAGATTCTTAACTTCAAACAAATTGGAAACCTGCAAATCTCTACCGAATCTAGGCAGCGGCTTCGGCCGCTTGTTAATCTCCTTAGTCTTGGACGATTTCTTGAAACAATTAGTTCCGAAACCAATGCCGACAGATTCAAGGCGATTCTTGAATCTCCTAACTTGTTCAAGCTCCGCAATTAAACGTTTCTTAAGAACAACCAAATCCCTCCCAGAACACGAAGATATATTTAAACTCACATATTGATTGTACTCGGAATTCGAAGATCCATGGTGACGATCGATGTAAGACTCACCATCCGAGTGTGATTGAGTTGTTACGTTGCCCAATCCTCCATCCATCTGTTGGAGGTTGTTAATTTCACCATTAGTTTTCCTCTTTTTCGTATTAGGTTTAGATTTAAGGTTCGAGAACGGAACTCTCGCCATAAACACTCCTCCTCCTCTTACACTGCCACCGCCGTTGCGTTTGATCGTCGGCTAACTGGTTTAGTTGTTTTGATGCACTAAAACAAAGCTCCGGTGAGGAAATTTGTACCGAAGAAACAAGAACGAAGGATCAACAAGAACAGAAGGCGGGAAAACGAAACTCCACTGGCACTTGATTCTTCTCTCCTCGGCGCCAAATTCAACTCCCAAAAAATTATTCAAAAATCGAAAGGAAAAAAGTAAATTTCCTAAAGGGAAATTAGGGTTTAAGGATAAACCACTTCACCCAAACTACTGTGAGAGATGAAGAATAATGAGAGGCAGGGGGGGTATTTAAAGGACTCGAGTTCTGCCCGTAATATTTGGGCAGTGTGATGGCCGTCGATGAAGATCGACCAACTAATCTTGCGGTGAATACGCGGTGGCTTGCTGCCCGGTGTGCTGACCAAATGAGCTGGAATGGACGGTGGATGTCCGGAGTTGTTTACCGCGTGGTGAATTTGGAGCGTTGGATGATGGGAACGGAAAAGACCGGGAAAATATTTAACTCTTTTATGATTTCGCCGAATTTAAAATAATTTTTTTTTAATTTCATTTATATTTAGACTTTCGAATTTATTTTAAATATTTAATTTAGATCTTATTCGAAAAAACTCTTTTAAATTTCGAATATTTAAAAAATATGTTTTTTTATACCATATATATTCCACTCATTTAAATTAAGTTTAATAATAAACAATTTTTATTTTATTTTTTCCAATTTTGAATTTTGACTTAGATGTTGTTTATAATGAAAAATAAGAATTTATTGGGAATGATTCGAAAACATTAGAGAATGAGTTTTTATTTATATATTATATACTCGAGTTTATCTTATTCGTTGAATATAATAATGTAGTTCAATATTTTCATGTTAAGTTGTAAATAAAAAAATCAAAATTATTATTAAAAAAAAATTTGACTCACACCTCTAATTCTTACTTAGAACTTCATGCCTTTTGAAATTTAAATCGATTTTGGACGTTTTGCGTTATATAAGGCAATTTGTTTTTTATTTTGTTGTATTTAAAGAGTGTCAGGTTATTTTAAATGTGTAGGTTGGAGAGGGGAACATAGCATTTTTTATAAGACTGTGAAAACTTCTCCCCAACATAAATGTTTTAAATGTGTGAGGCTGATGACGATACGTAACATGTCATATCGGTTATGAGATCTTGAGGCAAAACCTGAAAGTGAAAGTCCAAATAAGACAATATTGTTGGATGTGTATGACAACCTAGATGGGTGAATAGGGTTTTAACGATAAAAGTATTTAAACATCATTACTTTTTCTAATTATGAAACTTTTTACCAGTAAAAATGATAATTACGGGAGCAAAATAATTCAAGTCAAAACAATTAATAAATCACAATAATAATTTTGAAGTTAAATGAGAAAGAGTTAGAAAATATGACACCTTAATTTTAGGGTGGTTCGGTCAAATTTGACATACTCACTCCACAAGCGCCTCTTGGAAATTTGAATAAAGAATTTTCTCGACTCTTCCACGGATCAGAGTCAAACCGCTACACCGCTCTTTTTTCGAATTCAAGAGCAAACTCAATCTTTTCCCCGACGCAGGATCAAACCAGGACAAGTATTTGAATTTGGTAGTAGCACACCACAACTCTCTCAAATGATAGATTTACAATTTGGAACACTCATAACTATTTTTTCACCCTACGATAAAAAAAAAAAAAAAATCTCTCCCATAAGAATAAGATGAATAAAAATAAAATTATAAAATTGGAAGGTTTTAGAGAGCAACAAACAATCGAGACTATGAACAAATGAGGATTGGAAAATTTATGAAAGTATGGGGAAGTTGATGAATTTATATAGAGAAGAGATCGGCAAAAATTAGGAATTATTTATTTAATTTTTTAAATATAATAATATAATAAAAATCATAAATTTAAAATTTATTATAATTATAATAATATAATAATAGTAATAGTTAAATTAAAATTTCAAAATTTATTATAAATATAATAATATATTCATAATAAAAATGGATATAAGTAACCGTTATATTCAAATTTATATTAGGTAAAAATAATTTTATTTAGAAATATAATAATAAGAAAAATTCTAATGGATTACTCTTCCAAAATTAGAAGTGTCATATTTTGATTTATCATCATTTTGATTTAGATGTCACATCATCACGTGTATCAATTGTAATTTTTTCAGATTTGAGAGATTTCTAACTTTATACTGTGAACCAGTTCAAAATACTGAAAATTAGTAATAATTGAGAGTACGTTTGTTATCATCAAAACATCAATCAATTAATTAAAATTAATTAACATCAGTCAAAAAGCCAACAAATATATGATAACGGTGGACTTGAATTGTATAACAGTTAAAAAAAACAAACATTATAAGATTAGGTTATATAATTGATGAGTGGATATAACATATGAGATTTAAACTATATACTATACAACCTGTTCTTATAATTTAATGAAGAGATATAATGTGTCACCAAAGTCAAAAATTAAATTCATAAATTTAATATTTTATTTTATCCAATTCAAGATGTGGAAGAACAAGATAAGAAAGTGACACAAACTTGGCCTTTAATTCAAAGGAAGGTGAGGTAGTGAAAGACCATTTTAGGACACTTGTCAATAGGAGAAGGGACAAGAAATATTAAATGTTTTACTTTTTAATTAATGAGAATTGTTGGGAAGAAAATTAAATTTCCCTCTTAATTTCAAATTAATTAATATTTTAAATTTTAATTCATTTTGAATTACTTGAATAATGAGCGTAGCCATTTTTTTAATAAAAAAATTTGAGATTTCATGTGAACTCGAGAGATGAACGAAGCACCTCTTCTTAACATACTTGTTTTAAAATCTTGAAGGGAAACTCAAAAGGAACAATATATGCTAGCTATGGGCTTGAACCATTACAATTGATATCAGAGCCAGATACCGAGCGATGTACCAGTGAAGAGGCTGAACCTCGAAAAGGGACGGACACCAAGTGGTGTGCCAGCAAGGATGCTGGGGTCCCGAAGGGGGTGGATTGAGGGGTCTCACATTGACTGTTGAGGAAAACGACACTGGGCCCCGGACCCCTAGACCCCAAAAGGGGTGGATTGTGAAATTTCACGTCGACAGACACTAAGTGGTATGCCAATGAGGATGTTGGGCCCTAAAGGGATGGATTGGGGAGTCTCACATCGATTGTTGAGGAAAACGAGCTGAGCCCCAAACCCCTAGACCTCAAAAAGGGTGGATTGTGAAATTCCACGTCGATGAACACCAAGTGGTGTGCCAGTGAGGATGTTGGGCCTCGTAAGTAGTGGATTGAGGGGTCCCACATCGATTGTTGAAGAATACAACGCTGACCCCGGACCCCTAGATTCCAAAAGGGGTGGATTGTAAGATTCCAGAGTAGACACCAAGTGGTGTGTCAGCTGGGATACTAGGTTACAGAAGGAGTGGATTGTGGGTCCCATATCGATAAAAATAGATATTATACAAGCTAATTAAAAGAGCATGAAATTAAAATTTTAGTATTCATACTATAGCGAAAAAGAAAAAAAAAAAGAAAAAAGAAAAAAGGCTCAAACAAGACCTTGCGAAATCTTTGGCTTCCCATCCTGCCCCACTGCTCCTGTTCTAATATCGCCATTCACGGGCGCTGACACCCCCTGGCAAGGCGGCGGCAGTGGCGCTACCACGGCGGCTCCACTGGCCGTGTAGTATATTTGTCTTCCGGTGGTGCTGTCGTAGGCCACCTGGGTGTACGGTCTTCCTGTGTCTGGCGCCAGAGTCGAACCCCCACTGGGATAGGCAGCGACCTTTGAAGGTTGTTGTGGCATAGACGGTGATGAAGTGGTTGGATACGGCGGCTGTGGAGGCTGTACGACATTGTAAACCGGTTGCTCGCGGTAAATATTCGAGGACATACGCTGTACGGCGTAGTAGCCTTGATTTGCCGGCGGAGAGGTTACCGGTCGAGCCATCGGATGTTGAGGCGAGTGATAAACCGCACCGGGAGCGTGAATCATGTAGACCGGCGGATTGTCCGGTCCGCCGGAAACCTGCTTTTCAGGCCAGTATGAGGCTGGGTTCTGGAATCCCGGCGGCGCGTGGAAATTACCGCCGTAGTCTCTCCTTCGATACGCCGCGGCTTCCTCCTGTTCGCTGATATGCAACCTCTGTAATTCCTGCAATTGCCTCTGAATCTCGGCCGGATGAACGGCAGGATCCGATACCGTGATTCGATCTCCCGGAACAGGTCTAGCAACAGATTCAATCGGCGGAGAAACCACCTCCGGCACCGGATCGTGCAATTTCAACGCCACAGGCGGCGGAGGAGGAGGCGCGATTCCACTCTTATCCAAACCAAACAGAAATTCCACCTTATTTGGAACAGATTGCTTAGGCGCTTCGCCTCCACGGCTCGAACCAGAACTAAAAACCTCCACAAATCGCTCCCGATCGGACCTACCTCCATCGGACCCAAAGCTAGGGCTCTGATTAACCGGAAACAGAAATAGCCGCATCCGAGCGGGCTTCCCGGGCGCCCGACAGAGACGATCGTACTCGTGCATCATGTGCTCGAGATCATCATCATTCGAAACCGAAATCAACGCGTCCAGATCCTCGCCGGGGAGCTGATACTTGAAGGTAACGTCAGAGTCACAGAGAGACGAAAGCTTAGCGATCATGGAGGCAAACTTAATAGAGCGGTCAACGGCGAAGATCTTAGTCTCGCCGCCGACATAAGAAAGGAGGTTGTCGTGAGGACGAGGGTGGATCTTTCCGCCGTAGCTGGACAGGAACTTAACCTTGTAGTTCTGGTTCTGGAGCTGGGCAGAGTCGTCCCAGGGAGGGGCGGTTTCTGAGTCGATCTCGGCGGAGCGAGAGGAGGAGTCGCCGGACTCGGGGAAAGTGTTGTAACCGTAGCTATCCATGGCGGAGGAGGGAGAGATTTTCAGTCAGAGTGGAGAGGTTTTTCTCATTTCTACGGAGATTTGTTGATCGGAATGGAAGCAGAGAGAGCGACGGAACGGTCTATCTCTGTTTTGCTTTCGCTTTCGTTTCCGACAGGTGGTGGGTTGGAGTTGGCCTCCTTTAGCGGCTTATATATATATATATATATATATATACGTATACGCATTCATAAGGTAATATATTATGTCTAGAAACAATAATTCACTTAAAAATTTCAAATTTCGTTAATATTTTACTTCAAAAATAATCTAAAAAATGGTGATTATTAGTCATGTGGGACTTTGATCATCCAACACCTCCCCTTACTCGAGGTCCGACTCCTTTGGAGTCTTAGTCAACAAATAACTCATCTAGAACGAACATGACTCTCTCTCCAAGTTTAGGGCTCTCATGTCTCATAACTTTGCTTTGGCCTTCCCCAAAAGACCTCATCTCCTAGTGGAGAGAGTATTCATTGATTATAAATTCATGATCATTCCCTAAATTAACCAATGTGGGACTTTCGTCATCCAATAAATCTAACCCAAGGGCTATAGAAGAAAAACAATATGAATACATTTACCTTAATTCAGTCTCATGATCATCACCGTGATATCGTCATTTGTTATCTTACCTTTATTTAAAAATAAGAGTAACCCGTTACTTGAGTATTTTAAAAACTACTTAGCAAGTAACCCCAGGCTATTGTCATGAAATGCAATCATTTTTGGGACCTATCATTTCATGCTCTTGGCCTAACTTTGAGTTCGAGCAGAATTAGAACTTTAAATACAAATTGTGATAGATTTGCTTGTAAGGATTATATCAATGATACAAACTGTCTTACAAATTATAACTCTCTAAATCACGAGCAAATGAATGAAAATTGATTCACTAAAAAATGTAATCAATTAAATTTATATCATTAGATATATATGATAATAAAGTTCATTATTTAGTTTTTTTTTTTTTTTTGAATTCTTCACATTAATATTTAGTATCTTAAATATATTAAATATAAATTAAAATAATATATTTAATCTAAAGTCTTTCAATTCATATTTAATATATTATACCAAATTAATATTTAATATTTACTATAAAAATATATATTTATTGTAATTATATCTAACAACATTTAAATAATTAACATAATTAAATAAATTAAATGAAAAAATATATTTAAAATTTGAATAAAATTTTGAATTAATTAACTATATATTGAGATATCTAGTAAAACTTTAAAATAAAATTCATAATTTTTAGAAGTATTTCTTTAAGTTTTGTAAAATAAAATATATTTTTTAAAAAAGTAAAAAAAAAAAAAAACTAATAAATACGTATTTTTTAAAATATGGTATTAAGAGTATTTTAAAATTTTTAAAATGTATTTTTGAATATTTTTTTTTAACAAAATACCATTTAGATTTATTTTTATTAATTTAGAAAAAAAAAAAAAAAAAAAAAAACTTCCATTCTTCACATTCCATGATCCACATATAATCAAATTACATACAATCGTCTTCTCTATCTGCAAATAATCTTCACCTCTCTCTCATGGGATTTTCCATTCTCCCAATTTCCTCCCGAGCTTTACTCTGCAAACCCACACCCTTCGCCTCTCTCCACTCTTCACACCATTCATCGCTCTTCAAAGTTCATTTTGAATCATCTTCTTCTTCGGCGAATCCTAGTTCTTTTGCCATTTATGCAACTTATTTTGGTGGAGTTTTTGGTCCGAGACCTCGCAGTTTCCGTGCGGGCCGTGTTTTAGCTATGTCTTCGCATAATTCCGTCCAGAAATCGGAGGATGAGTGGCGAGCCATTCTCTCGCCGGAGCAGTTTCGAATTCTCCGGCAGAAAGGGACGGAGTAAGTACTCGTCCTCGCCATTTCTAGAGTGGCTTTTTGTTTTTAGGTTAAGTTGATTCTTCAATTCTGAGTTTGGTTGTTGATTGGAAGTTGAGCTTGTATGGATTTTTGAAGACATTCACTTCCTCTGTTTTGATTACATTTATATGATCTTTTCTTGTATTGTTTGTCTTCTTATTTATCCAGTCCATTTCGAATCATAGTCTTGAATTATCTTACTTTCTATGTCATTCTCCTTCAAATTAGCAACAAATGCTCTGGAAACTGAGAGTGAGTTTGGGATTATCTTTTACGGAAGTGCGTTTCGAGTCGAAGTTTCTTTATCATAGCATGTTGATAGGATATCTGGAAAGAAAGAAATGGAAGAAATCTTAAAAAATTCTCTCTGATATGATTATCATTTTAACCTCTCATTGCAATTCCCTCACTAAACCCTCTTGTAACTGAATTACTTCACAACTCCTTACCCATTGAAGCTGCTTTCTGTAATCTCATGTGTTTGAGGCCTTCTTAGCTTGTATACCAGCATTGATGAATGTGAGATCCGATTAGAGAGAGGAACAAAACATTCCTTATGAGGGTGTGGAATCCTTTTCATAGTAGATGTGTTTTAAAATCTTGAGGGAAAGTCCGAAAGGGAAAGTCCAAAGAGGACAATATCTACTAGCGGTGGATTTGGGCTGTTACTAATGGTATCAGAGCTAGACATTGGGCAGTGTGCCAACGAGGACGTTGGGCCTCGAAGGGGGATGAATTGTGAGATCCCACATCAGTTGGAGAAGGGAACGAAACATTCCTTATAAGGGTGTGGAAACCTCTTCCTAGCATACGTTTTTTAAAATTTTGGGGAGAAGCCCGAAAGGAAAAATAAAAAAAAGGACAAAATCTGTCGGTGGTGGGTTAGAGCTGTTACAATGAACCTCAGACTCTAAGAATATTAGTGGTATTATTAGCATATTAAGAGGACATGTTTATCAATAATATTAGTTAAAGGTGTTGATAAAGGGTTGAATTTAAATTGAGTGGATGAGGGGCAAAGTTGAGGATAAATTTAGAAGAGTTATTTTGTGAGAGTCTAGGCCAATCACAATGTTTGGCAATTGTAATATAATTTCAGTGTTATCTTCTGTGAATCTCTATTGCACGATCAGGTTCCTTTCACATATCTAACATTGGGGCATTACAGGTATCCTGGAACTGGCAAATATGACAAATTCTATGGCGAGGGAGTTTATCACTGTGCAGGATGTGATGCGCCTCTTTATATGTCGAACACAAAATTCTTTTCCGGTTGTGGCTGGCCAGCTTTCTTCGACGGTATTCCTGGAGCCATTAAACGCACCGTGAGTCTTCTACCTCCATCATTCTTTGCATGTAGGATGTTTTAGTAGCTCATCATATTCTGATCCTCTAACAGATGGTGTTGTGTGATATGTCATGTGTTCTAATGCCCCAAATATTTGGGCAACATAATGACATAACTATAATAACTACCCAGTTTTGGTACCACCTGATAGACAAGATTAACATACTTTCTATAACCAGAACGACCAAGCAACAACTTTTCGCACCACTTCGAATCAGTTCAACATACCCATACTACCAAATACATGAACGAGTCGGCCTCACATCAAGTACTACATGATAAATCACTCTAAATGCAAGACCAAAGTCATATAATTCAAACTAGGACTTCACTCCTTAATCCAGAAAAGAGAACAAACTAAACTTTTTAACAACTTCTAACACCACAAATGCATAACAAAAGGAATAGATCATTCTCAGCAAGTTCTCAACACTAGACTCTACTACTAAAACATAGACCATCAAGCTAAAGTACATTAACTAAAGGAAATAACGACTAGCTTGGTCTTGCTTCGTCATGCCTCTTCCCCACCAAATTCCTAAGATCTTTAGTTACTTGCAAAACTGGTGGTTGGTCGCAAGTAGCTCGTACTTGGTGAGTCACCAAACATCAAACAAAAGAAACGTCATGTTGTTCACTTGCATCCAAACATGGTTATCAAAAGTTAATAACATCTCATGCCCAACATCAGGTAAAAAAATAAACACACTTTGAACATCTCATGCATCCAAACAGGAGTCTCAATGTTTATAAACACACCTTGAACAGCTCATCAAATCCGAAAGGAGTTTAACCGAACCAGTACTCACTAAAATTTGCCAAAAGGCTTGGGTAATTGCTGTAATGTGTTTGAATTGGCTCAAGCTACATTAAGGGCCCCAATTGTTAGAAACACAATTTACAACACCTAAAAGGAATTTGAAACAGATCTAAATGCACTGAAACTTACTGAACTGCACCAAACAAAAAGGAATGCTTGCGGTTGGTAGTATCGTCACTGCAGTAGAGTTTAACCACCAAATTTGGGATGAATGGGTGTGGTTCTTCTACGCCTAGGACACCAGAATATCGAACATTGAACAAAGAAAGACATGAGAGAAAAGCATATTGGCAAGTGATTGTGAGGCCTCCATTCTTGACTGGAGGGGACATCAAACGCCTCTGCACTTCCATCTCTTGGATAGATAGAACGGGAGGACAAAGCTTTTTTTGGTTTTTTCACGGTTTGAACTACAAACAAGACACTTCCAAAGGTTAGAAACCATTCCAAAGTACCTAATTCGAGACCAAAGTGCACTAAGACGCATCGGAACTTGCTGATTAGCGCCTTAACGGCCCCGAAAATGTGCTGGAACCGTTAAAAGAATCTCTCCCCCAAGCAACACAACCAATCAAATGTAAACAAAACAAACTCCAAAATTGTTTCTCCTTGAGACGAAGACGTCACTAGTGTTGCATTTTTTCTCTCTCAAAGTTTTTGGTTAAGCAAACATTGAAGAGTTGAAATAGTGAGCTTGTTGTGTAATAAACAGCCTGACCCTGATGGGATGAGGACTGAAATCACATGTGCCGCTTGTGGTGGTCATCTGGGTCATGTCTTTAGAGGAGAAGGCTTTCGAACACCCACAAATGAGCGCCATTGTGTCAATAGTATTTCACTCAAATTTTCGCCCTCTCCATGATTTCTCTTTGTTTCTGTTCTCTGAATCCTGTGATTATATTTATAACCTTAGTAAGTTATTAC